ACATCTCATTCCACTATTGAAGATTTCATCTTGCATTGCATTCTCCAATCTACATTGAGGACAATGTAAATCAAGTGTGGGGGGTGAATAATTAGTTGAGGAACTTTTCTTTGCAAATTAAATTTTTTCTAGGAAGGTTAATTTTTTTGATATTCTCTCTTTTAAGGGTTTTGATTGAGAAAGATTTTCTTTTACTCACAAAAATGTATTTTTAGATTAATTAAAATATTTATTAATCTTGAAACCACGACTTTCACTCAAATTTGTGACAATGTTCTAAATCCATACAAATGTGCATAGAGTGCAAAATTCAAAATAAAAGTTTCATCCCAGCTCCAAATCACTCTATTGTCGGATTCTCCTCATTTCTGACAATCTAGATATATATAATTACGGAGAACAAAAAAAAAAGAGTTTATATATAAAACCAAAAAAACTTGTGTTCTCCTAGAATAGCCTTATCTACAAAAACAAGTTGTCAGTCCACAAGAAAAAAACACCGACATACCCACACATTGCCTAAATTGTCACAAAATAAACCCATCAAGTGTTTAAATATTTTTCTTAATCTTAAATACATTTATTGTGAGTAATAGAAAAAGGTTTTTGGCTCGAGAAAGATTAAAGAGTTTATATCTAATTTTTAACATCTTATTAAACTTTTAATTTGCATGGTTTAGTTTCTTTTCTAATTGTGCATCAATACAAAGAAATTGCTTGAGGACAAACAATGCTCAAGTGTGAGGGGATTTGATAGACGTTATATTTACTTGTGTTTAACATAAGTATTTATAACTATTTGTTGAAGAAAAGAAGAAAAATTGGGAAAATATCTTGAGAATAAGAGTTAGAGCATAAAACATTGTGATGAACGACTTTTGGGACCAAAAGGATGACGTTTTGTCCATCATTTGAGTATAACGTATTGTAGAGAACTCAAAATCACTTCATTCGAATTTCATGTGAATGGTAACTCAATAAGGTACAAATGCTATGAAGATATCATGGCCAGAATAGGAAAGGAACAATACTCAATCAATCGATAAAGTCAGATGTTGCTGGTGGGATTTCAGGATGCATACCTCTCAGTGTTTTATCCATATCTGTTGATTGGATGAATAAAATCACGTCATTCAAGTTTTTTTTGGATAGAAGACTTCATATCTACAACTTTGGTGAAGGAATCATGTCCAAATTCGTAGCGTAACATCTCCAAAATCACGGTACAAAAACTGACACTTTTTTATCCATTTCGGAGGAAGAGAAATGAAGTACATTTTTGGGCGCAGCAACCGGCGCCGGTCGGTCTTGAACCGGTGCCGGTCCGAACGTTTTTTCTCGCACAAATGAGCCTGTTTTCAACCGGGGCCGGTCATCTGACCAACCGGCGCCGGTTGGGTCGATTTTCTACTAAAACACAACGACGTGCAAGCTTATTCTTGATGTGGAAACTCCATCTTCCTCAATTTTAATCAAATATTGCTTCCATACCTGATTGTTGGGTTCGAATACACTAAAAGATGTCATTCTTTAGCCTGTATAAATCACTCAAATCATCAAACAAATACATTCCATTCCATAGATTAATTCATAGCTTTTAGATTTTGTTCTTGGTATTTGTCTTCGAGTTCTTTGGAGAAAAGGCTATTTCTCTCCTCTACAATTGGTTCTAGGTAATTTTTCTTGTATGTTATTGTATTTATTTGTTCTTAGTTACACTTTTGTAATTAATATGAGCATTAGAGGCTAAATTCTTAGCTAAGGCTAGGGATGAATTTCTATGCCCATTAGGTGTTTGATAAAAGTTCTAAACCAATAAATTGTGATTTATCCTTTATATATTGATTGTTTATGACTGTGGTGTACAACATAGAAGTATGTTAAATTTAGTTTATACTTGCAATTAACGTTGAAGTCTAAACTATGAACATTAAAGGATAAACATACATAGTACCGAGAATAGAAATATATCCGGTCTTATATGATACGGGTGTGATGTCTTGATATTCAACGAGGTTTTCGGTAGATGAATGTAAGCCGTAACGGGACTTACACATAACGAAAACCACGCTCTCGCTGCCTTAACCGGAGTTGAGAATATATTAGCGACATCGTATTCATAATTATTGGCAAAGAACTAATATTCAACCCTATTAAAGCATTTAAGTGATTCCCGAAGCCTTAGTTGTTGTTATCATTCATATTAAACTCAAAATTAGTTGACGATTATCTTTTGAACAAAAAGTGAAAAGCCAAAAATATAAAACACAAATCAAAATCCCTACAGTTTACTCATTTATTTTATTTAAAGTCACCTACTCTCGGACTAAATTAAACAACGTTTCCTTGTTGATTCGACCCGGTATTTTACCGGAATTTATTACTATATCGGCACTTGTACACTTGCAAGTTTAGCCCGGTCAAGTTGGTACTATATTAGGAATCTCAATAGATAAAGGTTGGTTCTTTAATGCATGCCCTAAATGTGTCTGTAATGTACGTTTAGTTGATGACAAGTTTAAATGTGATCATTGCAATGAAGATTCTATCAAGATTTCGAAGATGTAAAATGTTGAACCTTTTCTCTTATTTTCAAGTTAATTATGCTAATCAATTATTGTGCTAATAATGCATTTAAATTAAAATCAAATGTACAATTCTCACGAGATATAAGCTCAAATAATTGAGGGTTCAAGGCTCTTCTGGTGTCGCATACTTTATGGTTTTTGAAAAAGAAGGAACCCAACTCATTGGTCTATCTAGCGGAGACCTGTTCAGAAATATGGTAACCATATAAATGCTGATATTGTTATATACATAGTTACCCACAACTCATGATTTAAATAATTCAAATATTCATAAATAAAATCCATTGTACATTTTTCAACAGGAGGACAAAGGAGACGCATTCCCAGATGAATTTTTAACTTTAGAATGGAAAGAAGTAGCATTTATTGTGAAGTCAACACCTCCTAATGGGTATACAAGTCGTTGTTTTGCTGTTTCGACCCTCACTCAAAGCTCATCAATCTTACTTACTTTGGCAGAAAACACTCTAGTATATAACTATAAAATTAATGCTTTAATGAAACTTTATACATTTCACACACACACTCACACACACATATATACTGAAATATTTACATGTTTTACTCTTCGATGTTTGGCAGGACGGACAAATTCAAGAACAAGTGAAAGAATATGATGACGATGATGAGGAAGGACGGGCTCGAAAGAAACTTAAAGCTTGAGCATAATAATTATGTTAATGAATCATACTTTAGCTGAATTACTTCTCATTTCTAAGTAATTTACATCTTAGCATCAACATTTATCATATTTTTATTGTGTTGTGTTACTTTCTCAGTATTTCTCAATAAAATGACTAAGTTGCATCAATTTTTTTTCTCTTTTGTGCTTGAATACCTAAAAATTAATTTGGGTGTGGATGTCAGTTTATAACATACTTAATTATGAACTTAAAATCACATTTTTTACTTCAATGAATGATTGTTTAAGAATGGAGGGAGTCCTTTCTACAATCTTACTCCAGATGCAATATAACTAAGAAACTTGAATGATACATTTATGTTTGATGACACGTCTGAATTAGATCCCTAAGCAGTGGATTTTTTTCCCGTCCAAATGACTTATTCTGAATTTGTTTGTGTTGTGTGGATGAAGTTAAATATTTACTTGTTGGAAAGTTTTGCTCTTTAACTGGTATCAATAGGATAGGCTCTTGAGTTCACCAAGTGAGTTATTCTTTATTTTCCTTAACTTATACTCCCCCCGTCCCCCTATTAAGTTCCCGGTTTGACTTCACACATATTAAGAAAATAAATTTGACTTTACTATGGAGTGCACTGTTTTGCACTGTTTGGACACTGTTTGACACTGTTTTGCATTGTTTGACACTGTTTTGATGTAGATAATTTGCTAAATAAGGAAAGTAAGAAAGTATGAACTTAATTTAGGGACTGCCCAAAAAGGAAAGTGGTAACTTAATTGCGGGATGGAGCGAGTATAAGAATTTGTTAACAACTAGACTTAACACAGTGGAATTTCTGGAATTGAAAACTGGAATTGCAAAATGAAAGCACTTAAATTTCTATACAAACTAGAATTTCAGTTTCAAATAGATGAACCATGATAGTATCTTTATTTTGTGTCACAATTCCAGCATGGTTGCATTTCTAAAACCACACAAAACCAAAAGAGAAACATAACAAAGATGAATAATAAGGAGAGAAGATCAAGCAGCCTATTCGTATATAAAAAATGTGAGTAGAAGATTGGGAAAGCGGCTAGCAAGATGAATGGACGGGTATGTAGCAGCACATGGCCGCAGAAAGGAAAAGAAAACAAACTCAGCCACTAAAAAAACTTATTGCCGGGGAGAAGGAACACTTAGCCGCAAGAAGAACCGAAGGAAAAACGCAGATCTAAATATGCCTATCAACAACCAAACAAAACAAAACAAAACTGCTATTGAATAAATGCATATTTAAAGTTTTATTAAACAAATTGCTATTGAATGACAAGTGGAAAAAATCATCTCCTTTTCTGTTTGTCCCCATTTTTTTAAGGAAGGATTTTAGCAATGTTTGAGATCTGAAAACATGGATTTTTTTTAAATTCACATTACATAAACAACAACACACATGGAATGAGCAATCTGACCAATCACTTCTTAGTAAATATTTTATTACTATGTCCGATTAATATGGAGACTGAAAAAAAGCTTCTATTATTAATCAAACAACTGCTATCAATTATGAAAACCAATATTTATGGTAGTGATGAGTTTAAAATTAATGAGGATTAAAATTAATGAGGATAACGATCAAATGCCTAACAAAGTTCCCTCAATTGCTAAGACTCTCATACTATATCAGTTACACAACGACAACCAACATACCATCGAACTAAATGCATTGCCCCCTACCTTTTACATGTACATAACAGCCTATTTACCGGCGTAGTTATGGAGAGAGGAAAGAGAAAACACAAGAGGAATGAAGAAGTCGAATCAAGTAATGTGAAAGAACAAAGTAAGCACAAATTCATTATTTGCCATTTAATTTTCGCAGAAAAATACACTTATTTCAGATTACCACGATTTGCAGTTACTAATTTCTAAATAAATTCACCTTTACAGGGCCAATTGCTCATCTACAGGGACGAGTCGACAACACCAAATTTCAACACAAGGTCATGAAATTCTTTCATAGCATTTTACTGTGTGCATATGTTGTTGTTGGAGAAGATACACAATCGCTTAATTACATGAAAATTAGTCGTAAACTTAACCTCAATTAGTTCACAAAAATGGCATACCTAGATGTTGAATAGTCGATGAGAATTTGGAGCAATTCGCCGTTCACCGTCACCATATTGCCCACATCGCCCCTCTTCCTTAATCTGTCACTCTCCCAGAATAAAAAAAGTAGGAGGCGTTGGCATGATTCGTTGATCTTCTCTGTATCGGCAAATTGAAACTCCACTGTCGGCAAAATGAAAAAGTCCCAAAAAGTGTCGGCAAAAGGAAAATATCTAAATATACTTAATTTATTACGGAGTAGATACTTTGTATTTGTTAAACATATGACTGCTTTTAAAAAAACTTATGATTGCATTGTAGTAATACTCGGTAGTTATCAAAACTTCAAAATTATAGAGCCCGTTTGGTAACACTAAAATTGGATGAATTGGCTGATTCTGATGAAATTTATGAAGTTCTAGCTGAAGTCACTGTATTGGCTGAAGTTACTGTAGAAGATCATTTTAACTATTTTTTCATATAATCTTTATTTAGTTATTAATAACAAATATTTCAAATATAATTTTTTTATGAATTAACAAAATCAGCGCGCGAAACCAAAAGTTACGTGTTTGGTGAAAAAACTGTCTGATAAGCTTGATAAGCCAAAAAAGGGGTCACCAAACAGGCTCATAGAAATTCTTTTTTTCCTTAGTTATCAAAGTTGATATTTTTATCTATATAATATTATTATATCAATACTATGATTGATTGGTAAAACTTATTCAATATCACCTCTTCAGAAATATATTTAGCTGGTAGAGTTTGTATCATGCCGGTCTAACGGGAATCCTATCAGAGCAGTTCCATTTTTTTTTTGAAAAATCCAAATTATGATTCAAATATTAATTCCAATCGTAAGATCATCAAAAAATTTAAATAATTAGTACTTAATTACTTATAACATTTAATTGTTTATTTTTTTACTAAATGGATATCATGTTTTTGGAGTTCGACAAAATCATTATAGATATATTTTTCTAAGAGCATTGATCCCAAATCAATTCTTATTGTTACCCCAGCATTCACAGCCAAATGTTTTGAGCTTTCCCGGTATAGTTAACATTTATCTCAATCTTATGAATTTAATTCATATTTTATGCACTGTGATTTGTTAACTCCTGAATAAACACACTTTATTGAGGTAATTAACATATATTCCACATTAGTTAAAATAAATGTGCATATTTGAATAGGATATCATGATATTGGACCTATGGACCGCAATGTCAATTTTGCTACTCCAAAATGTGGTATGGAGAGAGACTTGCGCCAAAAGTCAACACCAACAATCCTAAATTTTCAATGTATTGTCAACAAGGGCGGGTTCGGTTACCTTTATTACAACAACCACCTGATTTTCTTTTAAACCTCTTCAAAGGCAGCAATAGAAGAAGTGTAAAGTTTCTTAACAACATTAGGGCATACAATATGATGTTTGCATTCACTTCTTTGGGAGGCAAGATACAAAAGGAAGTCAACAATTCTAGAGGACCATATGTATATAGGATGCATGGTCAGAACTATCGCTTGATGGGAAGCTTACTACCAATGGATTCTGGCAAATCTAAGTTCTCACAACTTTATATTTATGACACGGAGAATGAGATACCAAATAAACTCCATGCATTAGAGTAAGTTTGTAACACACTTCTTTATTGTCTTCTAAGAGTTGGTTTGCAACACACTTTCTTTATTGTCTACGTATAATTTCATATACCATCAATTAAATGGACTTGAATATCTTTTATATGCATGATTTCTTAGGTAAATATTCTATATTTAATGACACACGTTTGAATAACCTTTTTATACTATCTGTTTGAGTAATCACACAAATATATGGACAATTTTTCTAAACTTTTTAATTTTTTATTGAGGATGTTTTCTTTTGGACTGTTTTATTAATCAGATCAGACCAGACCAACAAATTTAAATCCAAAAAGCATCCTAAAGTTAGCACATGTTGGACTTTACTTGGAAAAAGGGTATTCCCGCATGGGCAGCTATATGTGGTCGTTTCAAGAGTCAAGAGCAGAAATGGGTTGAAAATTTTGTTGGGTGGAGGAGAAGGCTGCAATACAACAACGAATGTTGTGTACAAAGAGGTCTTTCAAAATGTGTAATTTTCTTTTAAACCACATCAATAATACTTAGCACATGAATATTTTCATTTCGCTGTAACTTTATTTCTTTACACCCTACAAACCATTTTCAACTAATGTGTTCATCTCACTAAAAAATCTAATGTGCTCATAAAAAGATAATAATAAGTCTAAAAAACTACCGGGGCATGCCCCGGGTGTTACACCAGTCTCCATAATTTGTGAGTAGTCCCCATAAGGGAATGCATATTTGTAAGGGATATATTCTTATTTTCGAGAATTGAAATCCAAGCTAGCGCATTCATGTTTATATAGTGTGTGTGATTTTATCTCTTTCATTTATTTAGGGTATGTTTGGCGCGACTAGCTCAAAAGATACTTTTGTAAGACTTTTAATAACTGTTAACTTTTAGTAACGGAAAAGATCTTAAAAAGAAAAGGTGGTAGCTGTTTAGTAAAAAGCCGACTGTTTGATTTAGTTCTGTTTGGTATACAAGAAGTTAGGACAAATTAATACTAAAAATCACGGTCTTTTCTCAGAAATTAATAAAAGATCTTTTATTCTTTTAAAAGTTTTTAAATTTTTTCATGCCAAACATACAACTAAAGCTTTTAGATACTTTTAAACAGTACGAAAGCTAGAAGACAGAGACTTATGTCTGCCAAACATGCACTTAACTTGTTACAAAGGGGAGAAGGGCCAAAAAGGACATCAAGGTTTTTAATGAATCTCGATATGACACTGAGGTCTAAGGTGGACTAAAAAAACACAAATTAAAACTTTCCCTTCACTTTTAACCACCCATTAACTCTCCTCTTAAACGGCCGTTTCCATAACACTTCGCATAAGAAGACCCCCAAATTATATCTAACTCGGCGAAGGGCCCTGCTTCGGCGAAAGACACCCGCGTCCAATGTGAAGCCTGCAACAACGAAGGAAAAACTCGGCAAAGGGCCCTGCCTCTGGTTGTCCCTCGATCAAACTTCAACAAAAGAAGGAAAAAGCTGGTGGGACCCTCATCCAACAGTCCTTTGTAAGGTTCATGACGCCTCAATCACCTCACCTCGGCCAAACGGATCTGTCATCCTCAAGCAGGTGGCTTCAATTGGGCCAAACAGAAAAACCCATTGGCCAAGCAAGGAAGACTCTTCAATCTTTCAGTTGCTTTCAGACGCCGTCCTAAGTTCAGCAAACACCTCACCTCGTCCAAACGGGTCTGTCATCCTCGAGCAGGTGGCTTCAATTCGACCAAACAAAAAAAACCATCGGCCAAGCAAGGCCCGGGCCTCAATCAGGGGAGCAGCTCAATAACCAACACCCATCGGCCAAGGAAGACTCTTCAATCTAGGTTGAAGAGAGGGTCTTCTTATGCTCAGTGTTGTTAGGGGGGGAATTGGGGAAACGGTAGTTTAACGGAAGAGTTAATGAGTGGTTAAAAGTTTAGGGAAAGGTTTCAATTTGTGTTTTTTTTGGTCCATCTTAAACCTTAGTGTCATATCCGAGATTCATTAAAAACCTTGGTGTCCTTTTTTGTCCTTCTCCCTGTTACAAAGTGACTTAACTTATTATTACCGAGAAAAATCCAACATGTCAGAGTTAGGGGAAATTTTGGAACAATCACACACAATTAATATTGTGCTATGAGAATATTCAAGTTTAAGAAACGTTTTATGCATACGCAAAACTATTCCATAAAAACACAAAATCGAAGTGTTTATATTTATATCGCTATCTTGATCATCATATGCTATTTATTATTTATTATTTTATAGTTTACGATAAGAACTTAAATTCAAAGAAAACCAAGTGGTACGTTTCTATCTAAGGAACCTCTTATAACTCAGTTTAGAAAAACATTTTCATCGACTATTATATTTTTGCAGATTAAGCTCTTTTACAATTTTACAATTAAGTTTAGAAACAATGAAAAATATATGTTTCAATGAAGATATTGGAAAAAAATACTACGAATATATTTTAGTGACAATCATAAATACCTTAGTGATTCTTATGATGATCAATGTATATTGTAATGATTGTAACGATACATTCATAACAACTTTAATTACATTTAATCAACAAATTTTACTTAAATACACCATAATATTTAAAGAAAACTTATAAATGTAATGTACTTATAGTCTTATACTCTGCACAAACACACGAGTTCTAGTGAATTCACCTGAGTTAATCTTACGTAGTGGGTAATTTTTATGTGTAACTCACTGAACGTACGGTTCAATTAAATCATCACATTTTATTAAATTACTAGTTTTTGTAGCGCGCATTGCGTGATTGAAAGAATGCACAATTTTTTGTGTAATAATAGTGACAAAGAAAAACATCACTTAATTGAGTGTCAATAATATGAGAATATTAATGTTATAATTAGTAGAAGACTCTGACGGTAAATACATAAAAATTAGTCTATTTGGGAGTGATACTAAGGGAGTGTTCGAAATTGTGAGAATTTTAGAGTATCAAATACTCTCGTAAGTGAGAATTTATTTAAGGACACACAAAAAGGAAAGTGAGAATTTTAAATAGCAACTGAGATATTATAATTTTGTCACAATTTAGCAGACTGAACCGCTTCAACCAAAATCTTATCAATTTCAACACATACATTCAATTTACTCAACCAATAATTATTTAAGAAGATATTAACACCATTTCTTCTAGTAAAATAATGCTCGTACTAGAAGTTAACCTCCATTTCAATTATATCTTCAAAATTTTATGTATCTAATAATCTATATAGACTTTACTTACTGCCCCGCAAAGTAATTTTAATCGTAACTAAGGCACATGATATCTGTGGCGTAAATTGATAAAGAATACGGAGTACTATTATACTCCGTACTACGTATCTCAATTTCATCCCACTTTGATTGATCTCATTCTAGTCTTTTGTCACCGATGTCCATGCGAGTCAATACGCATGTAAAACCTTGCAATTCTGAATATGTTTTGATCTTCGGACAAAACTAAGCCCCTAATAATTCTATTAAGTTACTTATCCGAGAAGATAAGGAGTAATCTAAGAAATGATATTGTTGGAGAGAGACAAATGAAAACTAACCACACTTAATTTTAACGGAGGTAGACAGAGACACTCCAATACAAATAAAATTAAAGCATAGAATTACGCGAAGACAATCTAAAATTTCTTCGAAGACAATCATTAAGTGCACAGTTATCTTCAAAAAAGTCTAGTTTACGAATACTAAATTTCAGAAAAATTCAACCGGGAAGATAACCGGTTGAATTTTTCTGAAATTTGGTATGCGTAAACTAGATTTTTTTGAAGATAACTGTGCAGTTAATGATTGTCTTAGGGTGATTTGCGGTTTTTAAGATAACCATACCTTCATTGGTCTTTAAAAGTTTTTTTTAGAGAAATGGTGCTAAATAGGAGCTTAAGTTTCCATACGTAATTAAATAAGACATTGACTTTTTTAACTCTTAAATAAGACTTACTTTCCCGTTTCTTCCATATTTACCCTTAATCCCTATTTCTTTTGTTTCTTCGTCGACAAAGTCAAGGAGAATTAATTTCTCTTTCATACGGCACAAGTGAGAGCGGAGATGAGGCACAACAGAGATGAGGCACAACGGAGAAGAGACAACAACAACACGGCGACGGGGCAGCGGTGGCACGATGAGTTGGTGAGGCGGCCGCCCAGTGACGCGGCGGCGGCTGCAAAGCGACGTCGCGGCAACATAGATGTGGAAATTAAATCCCTGGTTAGTCTCCTCCGGCCACCTTATTCTTCCTTCTTCTTTTCTGTTGCGTCTTCCTTCGCGTTGAACTGCGGCTCTGTTGTGTCAATCGATCGTAAAGTTGCCAGAGCTATTCTAGGTGTGACCTTTCTCATTTTGCTTTCTTCTATTCTTTTCTTTCCGAGTTCCTTTCTTTTTTTGTTCCGAATTCCGTTGAACTGCAGCTCTGTTCTAATTAATTTTTAGTTAGTTAATAAATTAAAATTTATTAATTTTTGGAATGCGTCTTCCTTCTTGTCAGTATGCATTTTTTGCTATCTTTTTGTCAATTTTGGAATGGAGTTTTAATTTATCTATATTAACTTTTTTGAAGATCGAACTTGCTGTTACATTATAACCAAAAGTCATAATTTATTAACTATTGGAATGATCTTCTTAGAATTAAATTAAGTATGTCAATATGTGTCAATTTGTTTGCCATTGTTTTCAAAGATGGGATTCTGGACATTACCTCTTTGACAAAGAATGCTATACATTTACGGCATTATTTTCAACAATAGTGTAACATTATTGATATTTGAGAATGCTTCTAATGGTAATGTTACACATTGTGAATTTTACTTGACATTGTGATGTTTATCTTGAAATTGTGTCATCTTGTTTTTATCTTAACATTATTGATTTTAGCATCTTTTCTTTATTTCACAATGTTTACAATACCGTCATATTGTTTTAACAGGGGCGTCGACACCGGCTGACGTGCTAGTTGCGTCGGCGAATTCTGCTACTTGCTGTCACATTTTTTTAATATAATAAAATACTCCTATAAAGAATGACATTGTTTACGACAATGTAACATTGTTCATTTTTTACCATGCTTATAATGATAATGTTAGACATTCTAGCATTTTATCTTGCCATTGTGTCACTTTTTTGACATTGTAGCATCTTCTTTTTACAGCAGAGGTCCTTGAAGGACTGTTGGAGAAGGCCGCAAGAGTAATAGAAATGGCGGTTGTTGAAGATCCAGTTGGGGGGCGGGGGGGGGGGGGGGGGTCGTTTGAGCACCAGCACCGACAGCCGCCGCAACACAAACAGAGATGATTATTGACATTATTTTTAGCAATGTAATTTTTATAGTGATTGACATTCACGAAATTGTCATTTTGTTTTAATTTTTTTGAGAGAAGAAGAGTACTATGTTCCCATTATAAATGTTTGGTTCCACTTTCATTGTTATGACATTGCAAATGTCGTTTACATTGTTAAGTTTTTTATAGTGATGAATTTGAATTGGCTTTGTTTTGACAACGTTGCACCTGCTGAAAATAAAAATTACTACGTATATTTTAGAGCTTTGGCATTAGTTTTAACAATGTAATTTTCACAATGATTGACATTCTTATGACATTGTTATTGACATTT